GATTTAAGAAAGTATAATTTCGATATGTAAGAATGATATCAACATAGTTGTAATCGTAATTGACGACAGCAATATCTAATCGATTGTCACCATTGAAATCACCAGCAGCAATAGAATATGGATTAAAATTGTAACTAACACTGAAGAATATCATTTGATCTCTAAAAAATCCATTTCCATATCCAAAAAATATACCCACACTTTCACTCTGATAGTTTGCTACAGCAATATCAACGTGATTATCATTATCAAAATCACCAATTGCTAGCGATAATGGAAATGAATTATTATTAGTTGAATATTTGTATGGTATTGTGAAACTACCATTACCAAAGCCTAAGAGGACATTAATTGTATTTAAACTAGAACAAGCAACTACAATATCCATATAAGTATCATTATTTAAATCATCAACAGCAACTGAATATGGTTGAGATTTATATCCAGTACTAATTATGACTTGAAATTCGAATGTACCATTTCCCTGTCCAACAAATATACCAACATTGTTAGTACCATGATTTGCAATAATAATATCCAGTTTGCCATCATTGTTAAGATCAGAAATAGCAAGTGAATATGGGATAGAATCATAGCCAGTTGAAAATGTTTTTGGTGTTGCAAAATTTCCGAGACCATCTCCAAAAAGAATACCTATATCATCAGTACCATAATTTGCAACGACTATATCGATTTGTTTGTCGTTGTTCATATCACCAACGGCAAGCCATCGTGGACGAGATGAGCCAGTAGAAAAAGTGACTTGTGACATGAAAGTATCATTACCAGTTCCAAGAAAAATACCAATATTATTGGCACCATAATTAGCTACAGCTATATCTATATGTTGATCATGATTGAAATCACCAACACAGACAGCATATGGAAGTGAACCAGAACCAGTTGAATAAGTTGTTTGATCTTTAAATGCAGTATTGTCCTGTCGAAGAAATATTCCTAAACTATTTGTGCCAGAATAAGGAACAACAATATCAGGAAGATTATCATTATTAAAATCAGCAACAGCAATAGAATGCGGATGAGAATCACTGGTAATTAAACTGGGAGCTTCTGATTTCAAAATAAACGTACATGTTTTACCTAAACAATATAAAAGATATAACATGAAATGAAATATAATAATTTTCGTTGACTTCAAGTATATTGAAATAATTTTAGTAGTAGAGTTTTAAAACTATTTTATTTCTATAATGAAAGTTCTTTTCTGTGAGAAGAATGTAAGTGAATATGATTGACTGAATATGAGAGATGTATATCATACCTAAGGGCTTCGGTGATGAAAAACAAACTATAAAAATGCCAATGATCATTGATATGAGTGTGAACATAACAAACATGAAGACTACTTTCTTGGAATTCAGCTTATGCGGACGATGATCCGGCCTAATGATGATAAATGTTAATTATACATGAAAATGAAATAAATTAGACATACTTATTCGATGGAGCCCCATTGATCTCGTCAAGATCATCAGCAATAGCTTCTACAGGATGTTGATCCTGAATTGAGTTTGTAGTTCTTCTTGAAGTGATATCAGAAGATATTTGATCAATTTGATGTTCTAATGGTAACATCTCAATATCCATAGAAGTCATTTTAATCTATAATAAAAATATAATTTCATGAAGATTTATCATTTAAATGAAATCAAACTGACACAATTTATTATATATTTTTCTCATTTCATAATTATAAAACTAATATTTTAATTAATCATCTCTATCTTCTAGTTATTGTAGTCATTTTTACTATTTTCCCTCGTTATATTTGTTGACGAAGAGAAAACTTCATAAAACTAAAAATTCTTTATTAATATAGACATTAGTTATTATTTAATATTTGCCTTATTATCTCGATGTATATGTATAATATTTCATACAAATATTAGAAAAAAAATACAGATATATAATAGTAAACAAGTATAAAATTATATTTTTATAACAAAATTGAATGATAAAGTTAACTAATAAAATAAAATAAATAAATAATGATATGAATAAAATGTATTTAGTTTATGAAAAAAGAAATATATAAAACAACGCAAAAAGTTTCATACTGATTAAAGGTGAAGTAATTATGTCTATCGAACCATGAAGCATATTTTTTTAAGTCATCGAGTAAGATAAGAAATTTTTCTCATAAAAAATACTTTTCATATTGACGTTTAAAAACATTTTCTAGATATAAGCACCTATGATATAATTTTTTTACTCGAACAAATCAAAAATCAAAAGAGAAAAATGAATATTGTTTTTTTCGAAAATATTTTTTATTACTTAATAAGAAATCTTTTCAAATCTATTAAAGTCAAACTATCATTTCTTATTATATAACTCTAGAAATATACATAATTCTTATAGTTTTTAAGAAAGAAAATTTATATCGAAAGGGATTTTAACTAACTATTACCTAATAAATATTATATTCACATAAAAATACATCACCCTTTCGCTGCAAATGTTTTTGACAAAAAATAATGTATTCATATTTATGTTTTGACTTTACTTGTCATGTATTGTTGTATTATGGTCCAATGACTGTTTAATTTCTATCATTCCTATTATATCCATTCATTCATTATAATTCGTCTTATCTAAGTTTATATGAAAGAGAATAATAAATCATAACTGAAACAAGCCGTACCTATTATCGAATACCGTTGTATTTTGATCAAATCAAAAATATATTACAAAAATGAAGCAAAAAAACAAATACGAGATATCTTATAGTATTATTATAAATTGCATATGTAATTATGATCAATTAATAAATCTCTCATATTTATCTTTATATTAATTTTTTATTTCTTCTAAATTAATTCAAATAAAAAGAGATATTTAAACAAGTTGAATACAATCGACATTTTGTTATTGCAAAAATAAATCAAATATTTGTATAGATTTTTTGTTTTGAATACATTTTGTATTTGATGCAATCGGGATAGATATTATTCGTCGTTTATTTTATTTGACATATTATTGCTTCGTTTTATATTATGACAATTTCGATGATTTATTATTTCTTTTATCATATCTTTTCTCTCCTTATTTACCTTCGATGACCTGAATGCTGGGTACTCTCTATATTTTTATTTTAAAATGTCAAGATTAAAGTATATTTTTTATGTTATAAATTGTATAAAGTTATATAAGGAAAGAATATTTAATTACGATTATAAAATACATGCATATGTATTTCAATATAGTGAATATTCTATTATTATTGTTAATACTCATTTTATATTTTATATCATCTGAAATCCAAAATGCATTTCCATTTATAAACAGATATGTATATATAATATTTATAATAAAATATAATTTTTATTAAAATAATACATTGTTTATATAAAGTCTTCTATTGTTCGCTTTTAGCTTTGAAATAAACTTATCTATGTATAAAAGTTTATTGAATAATTAAATAATATAATAAATTTGAAAAAGTAGTCTTCATAGAGAAAATCAACAAATAGTAAACACACAAACTTTTGGATAATAAAAAGAAATCATTTTAATTTTATAAAATTAATTAAGACAAAATTAACTCTTGTTTATTACTCTTACATTTTATAAATTTGATTTATTTTTCAAGATAAACTTTTATAAAAATGCAAATATTAGAATTAGTTAATAAAATATATCTAATAGAAATAATTTATATTTGCTCTTATGTTATTTTCAATATGAGTTAGGTAGACAAAATATAAATGTGATTAATCAAAGATAAAAAAAAATTCAATTATATGATAGAAACTATTATTTCTTTTCTACTATTGGATACTATAAAGTAGAATATGAAAAATTTCGTTAACTAAAATAATATGTATTCACTAAAATATTATAAATAACATTTATCATTCTGTTACTATACAATAGAAATTACATAAAAGAAACTTTCTCATTTTTTTTCTTATAAAAACATGATAAACTAATTTGTCTTTTGTATTTTTTTATTATAAAATTTTCTTAATATTTATCAAATAAAAAGTCTCGATCAAATATGAAATCTAATGATTAATATTTTAATAGTTTTATTTATCATTTAAAACTATACTTTTTATTTAATTGATTATTGAATATATATATATATTAGAATTCAAAACTCAACTAAATATTTTATTTTGATTTTCTGACGGTGTTTTATTTCAATACAAACAAAATATTATTAATGATGAAAGTTTTATAAAAATATTTCAATGTATTGATCTTTCATATTATTAATAAAACTTAATCGAAATAATTTATGTAAAAATTGTATTAAATTAAATTTTGTCTCTTTTTTCTAATTTGATTAAGAGATTCAATTCAGTTGAATATTCAAAACTGAATACTAATATTCATATTCACTTCCATCTTTAGTTTCATACTGAAATATAAATCAATTTGGAATTTTCATTTCAATGTTGTTTTAACTAAAAAAATGAATTGAATTGTTATGTTTAATATATTGATTTTATATCTTTTCAAATATATGTAGTTACAGAATCAGATTCGTTGTATGCCATCGGTGATTGTACTGAACTTGAACACAATAAATTATATGAAACAAGCACGACATGATCTACGCGCTGAAATTCTTGGTATATAATTATACTAATAAATATTCTACGTAATAATTGTATATATATATAATCTATAGATAATCGTATTTTTGTTATGTATGGTATTGATTCAAAAAGATATCTGTTATTGGAGCAGTTAGTTGTGTCATAACTATTTGAAATAATCATTTTCTTTCAATTAATAAAATTCATTTGATATCATTTCATGTTATATTCAATCCTTTATAATAAAAAGGTCGTACAACATAAATTTTACTTTCTTATTTGTGTCTAACATCTAACACCCTCTGTTAGAATAAAGAAGATATAGTAATACTAACAATACACGAATCTAAGTATGATATGAGTCATAAATAACCACAATAGAAAATAATCGTATTTCTTTTAGTTTTCAAAAATTAGATGTAAATAATAATTATGTCTTTCTTTCGTTCATTTCATAATAGTAATAAAGGTGAGATTTTTTTTGAAAATTATATTTATTTGTTTTTATTTATTAAAATCTTTTATAGAAAAAATTCGCAAGTATAATAAAAGTGATTCAAAAACATTTTCTAGTGTACAACAATGGTCTTATTATCAAGATTTAGCTATGCAATCAGGTATAAAAAGAAAAATATTCTTTTTTCTTTATCCTCCTGCATCAAATTTTTAGGTCATTGTACGATATCATCTGAACTTGTTTCTCTTCGTCATTCTCATTTTCATCGTTCTCTGTACAATCTTATTTATACACCTAATGATGAACTTGATTATTTTATACATTATATGGATTCATGTTCATTATTATCTTATATAAAATTTATACTTGATATAAATACATTTGAGAAAATACTTCGAGAAAATTCCAATGATGATCACCAAACAATCGCATTAACATTATTTCATAGGTATTTATCAATCGATGCAAAATATAGTGTTCCAATCAATGATGCAATACGACGAACAACTCTTTGTAAAATCATTTTTCTTAAATTAAAATTTTAATCATATCCGAATTTCTATAGTATTAATATGTCCATCAAATAATAATAATAAACCAGATTCGAATTGTTTTCATATGGCACGTGAACATATCTGGGAATTAATTGAACAAAAGTTATTTAAAGTTTAATTGATAAAAATATATTTATGTTTTTTATTCTAGTGCCTATCCGATATATTTAGAAAGTAGTTTTCATTTAAATTATCAATTAAAAATGTTAACAAGTAATGAATTACAATTACATGATTTTTTATATCATAATAATTCATTATCGTATTTGATGAAGGTTAGAAAGAAATGAAAATTTGTTTTTTGGTATTATAAAATAAAAATTAGTTAATCTAGTTTGCTGAACAAGAAAAAATAACTAATCTTATTCGATTTTGGATTGATGTAGAAGATTTTTATCAAAATATTATCAATAGACAACTTAATAATCAAGTATTAACACAAAATGCATTATCTATTTATGAACAGTTAGTTAAAAAATTCAATTTTTCGTTTTCAAATCTGATTTTTTATTCAAAAATAGATATATTTCGTTGCAAGCACCATTAAGATTAGGTTTTGATGATGTTATTCGTGCAAAAATTGAGTGTAGTATTTGTCAACCAGATCTTAATGCCGGTCCATCTATTGATACATTTGATCAAGCAAGTTGGATTGTTTATATTATATTACAACGTGTAAGTTATGAGAATTATAAACAAAAAAAAATACATTTTACTTTATTAGCAATATTTTCCTCAATTTTTACAAAGTACGATATTTTATCGATATATTACTGATCTTATGTTAAAATTACGTCATGATGATTCTATATCCCATTCACAACAAATGAAAACATTTGACTCTGGTAAATAATTATCTTTCTTATATAATCAAAAATATGAATTATATAAATGATAGATAGAGCATCGATTAATTCAGATACTATCATACAATCAAAACCATTAAATCGACAAAGAAATATAAGTACATCATCATCCTGTTTAAGTATTAATCAAGAAACAGATATTCGACCTAAAGGGTAAATAATTACTAATATATATAAAATAAGACTTACTGTCTCTTCGCGATTGGCGAAAGCCGAAAATCAAGAATAATTTGACTGATTAAACGAACAAAGAATTCTACAGTAAAACCTCTCATAGTGGACACCCCTTTATAGTGGACACTCTCTATAGTGAACACCTCCATATAGTGGACAGTTTTAAAAGTCCAAAATTATATTTTTTGCTGAAGGTGAACCTCTGGATAGTGGACATTGTTATATAATTTTATACGATGAGGATTATTGACAAGTTTAACAGCGTCTACAAAAAAGATTTGACTATTTTTTTAACAAACCATGTTTTTCGAGAGCGAAAGTTAATATAAACAGAAGTAAAGATAAATAGTAATGTTCTGTCATATTCATTAACAATCGTCTGATGTCCAGAAAACACATTTACTTCGTTTAATAAAGTATTCTTTCAGAGGTAACCTCACCTCTACAAAGTGGACACTTTTGAAAAGCCCAATGGTGTCCACTATAGAGAGGTTTCACTGTAGATAGAACTGTTTCATTATGTATAGAAGTGTGCCGAGATAGAAATTCTTTTCAATTTTCAATACCTATGATATCAATATAAGTCAAATAAAATGCAATGTTTGTTTTTTAGACGATTTTCAATGGGATATGTTGATTCATTAGGCCGTTTTATACGTGATCCTGATGTTGATTCAATTGATAATAGTTCATCATTGAATCGTAAAACACCTTCGAAACCATTCCAATTTATTACACAATTAGTTCGTAATGAACAAGATGAAATTGTAAATTATATTCTATTTTCAATAATATATATATTTGAAAAATATTTTAGGTAACCGATGAAGCGGCAGCACAATTTGCTAAAACATTTATTAATGAAATAACAAATCATACTGCTAATTTAGATATTGATTAATTCCTTTTTTATTCTTCTTCTTCTGTTATTATTTTTCAAATGATTTTATCGTTCCAGATTATGATTTCAATTAATAAACAATGTCAAAATGAAATATTACCATTACTAATATCATGTAAACATTTATCAACAATAACTTCTTATGATCAATTAACAGAACTTAATTTATCAAATTTAAAATTGCTAAAAATCGATAGATTTCCATTTGAACAATTTCCTAAACTTAAATCACTTGATTTATCTTCAAATCAATTGATATCAATTAATATCGATTGGTCAAAAACATTTTTAAATTCCATTGAATATCTTAATTTAAGTTCGAATAAATTAGAAACACTTTTATTTCTTAAAGATTTTAAATATTTAAAAATATTAAATATTACAGAAAATTTATTACGAAATAATGAAAGATTTTTATCATTATATATTTGTCCAACAATTGAACATTTAATTGATTTTAATCAAGAACAAATTTATAATGATCAAATAAAATATAATCAATTATTAATACAATTAAATTCTTTTCCATATTATAAAAAACAAAAAATATGTGAAATAGTTTTTGGTGATTTTCGTCAAACAATAATAAATTTAATTGAAAAACAAGAGATTTTTTCAGAATTTTCTCTATCACCATTAGGAAATTATTTTATTGAAAAAAAATTCAATGAATTTTATTTACAAATCAAACAAAATTTTCAAACATATCTAACTGATGATTTTCAATTATTAATGAATATTAAAGAAACAACTAAAACAAATTATTTTCAACCAATAAAACTTTTTCATTCTCATCATCAGTCAAAGGAAGATTTAACAACAATATCTGTACATATGTGCGCATTTGTACCAAATACATCAAATCATATTTTAGCAACTTGTGGTGGTCAAAAAGTATGTTTTATTAATTGTAATACATGTGAAATAACACATTTATTTGAATTAACGACATTATCTTCAAAAGTTACATCGAATACTAAAAAATTAAAAGATAAAAATAAAACATATTTTTCATGTTTATCTTGGATTGAAATTGAAGATTTAAAAATATTAGCTGTTGGAGCAACGAATGGTTCGATTTATTTATTATCACCAAAATGGAAACTTATGTTTGGACATATTGAATTACCTGTAAGTTATCTAAATAACAAAAAAGAAATTAATCAATGATAGTGATGTGTAATTCTATCATCGATAAATCTCGTTGCTTTTATTATATTAAAAATGTATGAAGAGATAAACGAGATAAGAATATAGAAAAGATTGAATATTTGTAAGAGTTCATTTACATTGATATACGATATAAGTGTACTCCAAATTTGGAGTTTACGCATGTCGAAGTTTTCGCGAAAGATTCTACCTGAAACTGTAATCATCTGTTTTTGATTGCTCTAATAGATACTCTGGACTGTGCTGAGTGGACTAGTGATGCTCAAGAAAAAAAGCACACAGTTACAAGCTACAAGTTGTCGAAAACTTGACATTTAGAGCTCACTTAAGTTAACCGTGAAAGTCTTACTAATGATCTTTGAAAATACATAGCTTAAAAATTTCTTTATGTATTCATAGAATTCATCAATCAATTGTTTAACTTGGCATTCGAGTAATCCATTTACGTTAGTTATTGGTTCATATCATACTGTTCGTTTTATTAATATTCGATCATATATCGATCGACTTCAATCGTTTATTCGTAAACAAAATAAACCTACTGTACCATTTGATTATGTTGATTCATCAATGTTTATTAACAAAGTATCTAGTACACACATCTATAATCTTTATGATGGTCATGGTCCACTTATTCTTATAACTGATTTACTTTTTTATCCATTATCTAATAACAATAATAGTGTTCTTCTAGTTGGTACAACTTCAGGTCTTTTTGTTATTAAATATCAAGATAAACAAAATCAATCACCTATTCAACTTGCATTACCTAAATCAATATGGACTGTTAGTGAACATATAGAATCACTACGTTTAATTAATAATCCAATTCGTTTAATTGCTATGAATATTCTTAATCTTGATTACATATGTTATTTCGATCTTGATCAATCACTTAAACATCAGCAGTTACATATTATTCATTCACTTCCAAATCCATCTCGACAAATTCCAACTAAAATGGCTATCTATTCAACAAATAATGCTGATACATCATCATTTGAGTGTATAGTTGGTAGTAATCATGGTTCATTTTTTTATCATAAAATTCAATCACATGAAACAAAAAAATCAATTTGTGAAAATCAACAAATTGAAATTTCTATATTACCAAATATTTTATCAGCTAGTCTAAATGAACATTATCTATGTTTAACTACAAATAATAATCTAATATGTATTTATAAACGACAGTGATATGTATATTTCAATGTAAATTATATTTTTTTTTGTTAAATAGAATACAAACAAAACAAAAATAGTACTATATGTATATATATATATATTTAAAGAAATAAAGATGCACTACTTGAATTTTGTCTATCTTTAAAACGTTGTACAGCATGATGACCTTGTGCAAATGTTTCAAACATCCCAGCTAATTTTGATGCATATTTACGATCATTTTCAAGCATTAAATGACGATGATGCAATGCTTGACATAAAGAAATAGCCATTATAATATGATATAGGAAGAAGAATATTGTGAACAGTGCAAGTACATAATTATCGATAGATTTTGATACATTCATTGTTCGTATAAGATAACCAATAATTGAATGCCATATAGAATTAAGAGAAATAAAAACTAATGATATAAGTGTATATTTATCTAATAATGTTAAATAGGATACAGGTGGAAGAAGTCGTGATACCGACCAGCGGAACATTATTGATGTTAGTAAAAGTGTACCTAGATAAGAATATATACATATACATATACATATTTATTTCAAAAAAAATTAACGAACAAGTAATCTGAAGACGACTTTGAGGAAGTTCAGGTGCAACACCATAAACAGTAAGTGCAATAACTGTAATTAGAAAAATAAGTAAATAAACATTCCAATAAAAATAACCAGGTCGACGAGCAACATAACATGTAACTAAATAAATAAGAATTTTCTTTTGAATATAGAACAAAAAGTTTACCAAGATATGTCGATTGACGGATAGGTCGAAAACTAAAATCTTCTGTTGTTATTGTTGAACGTGTTTCAATATGTTCATAAAGAAACCATTCTTGTTGTGCTAAACATAATTATTATTATTTATTAATAATTTATAAGTTGGTAAAATTACCTAGAAAAGCTTCTCGATTAACCATTGATGGTTGAAAACGATTTTCAACTAGAATACATTCATCTGTTGGACATTTAGTAACAATTTGTAATGAAAGTTGTTGAACATCAACTGGAAAACTATTTAATTCAAGTTTTTCCCAAAATGTACCAACAACTTTACGTATTTCCCATACATAAATAACATCATGTGTTGAATCATCTAAATAAATCGGTTCATCTAATGTATCCACTAATTCACTAGTTATTTCTTGTTTAATATCACCAATTGCATTTTTAACATAAAGATTTGGATTCCATGATGCTGCTGTACGATCATATAACCATCGTGCTTCAATAACAATTTCAGCGAAAAATTTTTCTTGTAAAGTAATTACCTTTTCATATTTAATGAATAAAAAGATTTCATTAGAAATATAAACTTACTTCACCAAGACGAATAAATTTAACACGAATAGTTACTTCACGTGGTGGTTTTACACTTGGTAAACCATTTGATATATTAGTATTTATTTCATTAGGAGATCGTTGTATTTGAAAACGTGGATGACTTGCGGATGATGTCATCACTAGAGAAAAAAACAGGAAATCATATAAACCGAAAAATTGAAAATTAAATATTATTTTTTATTAGAAGTTAGTAGAAATCAGAGTATTATCTTTTTTTTTCTTATTAATAATAATTCTCAATGGTATTTAATAGTTTCGAATAATTTCCGGTAGTTTCCAAACAATTTTCAGTTATATCTTTTACATATTATAATGATTTTTCAACACAGTATAATCGATTGTTTTTCCTTAAGGAAACTCATAAGATGATTCTGTCACGTCATTTTTTTGCTTCTATCGTAATACGGGTGTTAATTCTAGCATGAGATAGTTTGCATGATCTATTATTTGTAAGTTTCGTGATATATACTATTATTAATATTTTCTTATAATGAGATGCGGTTAAACTGAAGAGTGTAGGAAAGAGAATACTTTTAAATCTTGACGTAAAAATGATAAGAGCTTCTTTTTATGACTATTTTTTGTTTTTGTTATTACATATAAACATATACAATTAAGTTAATTAGAATTCTATACAAACTAATAATGAAATTTATTGTTACATACTTGCTGATGTAGTAACAGATCGAATATTGCAAGATAAATTATTAACGGCGGAAGATCCTCGTGCAATATTGCCAATCGTTGTTGCACGTCTGCTTGATGTAATAGGTGGTTTAATCACATCATTAACTTTACGATTAATAGATTCCGAAAAAGAAGTCGATTGTTTTGTACTATGCATAATTGGACTAAAATATGATATCTAATTTTTATACTAAGAAATGATGATAATATCAATTGAAAAAAATCATATGGTGATGATATTGATAATTGTTATGTATTAATAATAACCTTGATCACAACTAGTGATAAGAGTGATGCGATCAATTTTCTAGCATTTGACAATCATATAATACATAGACAAGGATATTCGAAAGGATTCGTTATTTCCTATCGATTGTATGTCTATCGTTGTTTTGCATTTTTATTTATATAATACTAAAAGAAATACCAGATGAGAATGTAAAATAAGATAGGAAATGTAGTAAGACAGATGCCGTACGATGAGCATAAAAAATGATGAGTGATTATTGTAAGAACAAGAAGAAAAATAGATAATAAAATAGTCTCATCAATATTTTTAATTATTTAGTAATCATAACTACTGAATATTGAATGATGATATATACCTAGTTTAAGTATATTTATGTTTTTTCTCTTCATCCGAATAAATATACCTAATATTCTAATTGAATGTAACAAAAAGCTTAAACTCTATTGCATTTATTAGATGAAAACAAAAAAATAATATAAATTTAATTTCTGTACGGAGCTAATTCAAGTCTTGATATCTCATGCGTAGTTAAAATGATCTGAATAACTGTTTGTCAGATGTCTTTTTCGAGCGATGATTAAATTCAAGTTAATTATATCTACAAAACTCATGTAAAATTTCTGAACTGATAATTCATCATCACTAAAGAAAAAGACGATAAAATTAATAATGTTTGTGCATATAAATCCGGATGGTACTCACCCTGTTTTGTATGCTTGTTTCATATTGCAAACAATAATGCATAAAATTATGATAGAACAATTCTGGTTAAAACTATTTACAAAAAAAAAATATACTCGATAATTCTATAAAAAAAAAAGACGCGACATACTAGATCGTCATGAAGTGTGAAAAAGCTTTAGTCTAAATGTTGACAGACAGTCACATCAAAGAGGATGTTTTTTCTCAAACAAAGCGACTTTTATTCTAATTGAATAATGAATAGAACAAATAGTTAAGACAATGTTTACGTGATGTTCGCTGAACATCTTATTGAAATGAACAATAAGAGTTAATAAAAAATTCTATCAAATGATTTTTCTTCTATAGTTTCAAAAGAATAGATCTTTCTGAAAAGGTACGATATATCAACAGAGTAAATCATTTGAACTTATAGATATCATATATACTAATAGATCAGGCTATACTTACAAAATTGAATTGAATATCTTCAATTGTGATAAAATAATATTGAAACTATTTTTATATTAAATCTTTACACTTTCAACAACATCTCTAATTAATTTTAAATACAATAACATGTGTAAATAGTTGTAGGATGACTAGCAATTCTATATAATATCTTCAAAAAACGCAACTATATTGCTTATTATACATGTTGTTATGAGTTCTTCTCAAACTTGAGTATATTCATTATTGTGCGACCTCTTCCTATAAGATCCTATTGCTTCTAGCATAACGAATAACACACACATGGTATAACGAGGATAGAGAAGAGGAACCATTTCCGCAAAAAAATATATTGACTTTCTTCGAGATCCAATTAGAAGCATTCTATTGTAAATCAGTCGCAAACGATCTTTAGAATCTCATAATAAAAAAACAATGGCATTTATCAAAAATACAATACTCAAAGTGAATAATAAGAAATAAAATAGTAATCAATTTAAAATTCTTCTTATTTCTAGCTCAATCCAATATCAAAAGCGTCTGCTTTAACTACGCAAAAACGTTTCTATTTATTACTTCATGAATATGTATCCATGGGATTACTTGAAGAAGCAGGCATTCGTGTGCCAAAATTTCGTGTTGCTGAAACACCTGAACAAGCACATCAAATTGCCGCAAGTGAAGGTATGTTTTATTTTAAAGATTTATTTTTTTTCATTTTTAATTTTTTTCATTTCAGCATTAGGAACTGATCTTGTAATTAAAGCTCAGGTTCTTGCTGGTGGCCGAGGTAAAGGTACATTTGATACTGGATTGAAAGGTGGTGTTAAAATGACTTATTCGTAAGAATAATAATTTACTTATTAGATAGAAAAGAAATATCTAATTTTGTTTTTGTAGGGCTGATGAAGCAAAAGATGTTGCTTCTAAAATGCTTGGTCATCGTTTATATACTAAGCAAACTGGACGTGAAGGAAAACTTGTTTCAAAATTAATTATGTGTGAAAAATTATTTACTCGACGAGAATATTATTTTGCATGTAAATAAATATAAAATATTTTTTTTTGTTTTTCGATGTTAATTAGAATATTTTTCTATTTTATTTAGTGGCATTAGAACGAAATTTTGGTGGTCCTGTTATTATAACATCAACACAAGGTGGTACTAACATTGAAGAAATTGCTGCTGAAACTCCTGATGCAATTATTCGCCATCCAGTTGATGTTCACAAAGGTCTTGAACGTAAAGATGCATTAGCAATTGCTGAAAGACTTGAATTTCGTGATGAAGCTCTTGAAGACGTTTGTTACATATATATTCCTATACTAGTTTATTCATATCTATTTTTATATTTTTAGGCAGCAGATACAATCATAAAACTTTATAATTTATTCATGAAAAAAGATATTGTTTTATTAGAAATTAATCCATTCACAGAAGCAGCTGATGGAAAAATATATTGTAAGTTCTTGTGTTTTGTTCAATAGAACAATAATGAATATATATATATATATAATATATAGGTATGGATTGTAAGATTAATGTTGATGATAATGCTGAATTTCGACAACCTGCCTTATTTGAGCAAAAAGATAATACACAAAGTGATTGGCGTGATGTTAAAGCACAAGAATCAAATTTAAATTATATTGGTCTTGATGGTGAAATTGGATGTCTTGTTAATGGTGCTGGTTTAGCTATGGCTACAATGGATATTATTAAATTACATGGAGGTAATCCAGCTAATTTTCTTGATGTTGGTGGTGGTGCATCTGCTGCACAAGTTAAAAATGCATTTGAATTGATAACATCTGATCCACGAGTAAGTTAATCTATCTATGACTATATGCATATAGTGAACGTATATTAATTAGGTTCAAGCCATATTTGTTAATATATTTGGAGGTATTATGCGATGTGATATCATTGCACAAGGTATTGTTACAGCTGCAAAAGAACTTAAATTAACTATCCCAATTGTTGTAAGATTACAAGGTAAAGTGAAATTATAATAAATATATTATAGTTTTTGTTAATATAATCGATTTATTACGTCTAGGCACACGAGTTGATGATGCTAAAGCAATTCTTGCTAATAGTCAATTTAAAATTCTTGCTTGTGATGATCTCGATGATGGAGCTCGATTGGTAAGATTTTGATACATAGAAATAATTATTACATATATTGCTTACAATTTTAGGCAGTCAGACTTGCTCAAATAGTTAGTTTGGCTCGATCAGCTTCAATAGGTGTTCAATTTGAATTACCACTCTAATTTATTCTCAGGCAATCATTCGAATCTCTTTCATTCGCTCTGATTCTCTGAATCAAATATACATCAGTCTCGATTTGAATTATTCTATTTTCCCTCTATTTTTTTGTTGCTATCATTAACAAAATTTTTATTTTAGTTTTTTATTCGATGTAGTATAGTCAATACTATAATCCAGTCATTTTTATCTCGCAATATAGATTTTTGCAATTCCTTTTTCTTGTCACTGCTGAATCCTATTTTTTTTTGCATAGTAAATAATACATTAACCGGTATTAAAATATGAACGAAACTAATTATTTGTCTTTAAAGAATGTAATTGATCTAGAAATACAAAAGCATCATATTGTAAAAGATGATTTTTGTGGTGTTGTTTATGTTGGAGAATTACCAAAGTTAGGACTGTAGAATCCATTCTATTCTATTCACAAAGATTATTGTGACATCTATACTCTAATTATGATTTATTACAGTATCTATGTATAGAGAAAACCTGTTTTTATAATATACTTTGATATAATGTTATTCATACGATCAATACTGGAATATTAATGTTCGCTTAAGGCACTTTTACACGGTTACAGGTGATAATTTTAAATAAATAATAATTTCAAGTGGAGAGAAGCAATATTTGGTTCTATTTTTAAAATCGAACAGAAAAAGTAAGGAAGAAAAAACAGCGAAGATATTGATAGCGTATTAACATAAATAGTATATGAAAGATTATCCAGTTTATTCTTGTGGACATAAATGAATTATGAAAAACAAGTAGGTAACGATCAATCGAAATCCAAATTTATTATACATATCAACAAACTAGACAATGAATAACAATTTGTAGGAGATTCATTTTTAAATACATACTGCTTGTAAAATATATGATAAAAAGTAATACCATAACTTTGACTATATTCATCGTTAAGACAATGTGTTTTTCTAACACTTTCAAAAAGAGATATGATTCTAACACTGCCAGATAAACATTTTTTTATCATTTGCAATAAAGTTTTAAAAAAAGTACATATCAATAATAAATATACAAAAATGCGTATCTATTTACTAACTCCATGATTACTTATTATTAAAATATATTAAGACATCAATCAATATTAAATACAATCATAAGAATAACATATGTTATATATCTTTATCGTTGAGTTTTTACATAA